CTCCTTCGTGTCGACTCGTGGGAGTGCCTAGTTCGTGCTGAGTAGCAGAGCGAGGTGCGGCCAGTGAGGAGCGCGAGCACGACCAGGTCGAGGTGGTAGGTTGCGCGCGGGATGAGCTTGTTGCGCTCCGAGTTGACGGTGCGCACGGTGATGTTTTGGTCGAGGAAGAAGAGAATCGCCTGCCCCCGAGAGGAGCCGAGATCACCCGAGATGACCCCGAGAGGACCCCGAGATTGCGCCGAGCGAGAAGAGGATCGCCAGAAAGACGGCGGGCAGCGCGGCGAGCAGCCGCCAGCGCGGAGGCAGCGACCAGAGGGGGACGAGCCACGGCCGGCCGAGCGAAGTGGAGGCGCCGACGGCGAGGCGGGGCACGTCGGCGGCGAGGCGAGTGGCGAAGGCGGACGTCGAGAGAGCAGAGACGGAGCCGACGGCGAGTGCGGGCCTGCGTGGTTGGGACGCAGACATGGGGGGGCGGGGAGGGCGGCAGTGTGCCGTGTACTCGGAGCACCGCGTGAGTACGAGGGAGGCGGCTACAGCGGAGTACAGCGGAGTACGGCGGAGTACGCGTCCTCTCGAGTGCTGGTTGGGAGACACGAGTCCGCCATCCGCGTCTAGACTGCGGCGAGCCCAAAGTCGGCGATGAGATACGGGGAGATACGGGGAGATACGGGGAGATATGGGGAGATATGGGGAGATCTAGACTGCGGCGAGCCCAAAGTCGGCGATGAGCGAGCGGAGAGTGCGCGGGAAGTAGCGCGAGGCGGAGAGGCGGGTGGAGCCCTCGCAGGCGCCGAAGGTGAGGAGGCCCCAGCAGAGCGAGAGCAGGGCGGAGGCGGAGGCGGAGGCGGCGCTGCGAGCGCCGGCGGCGGCGGCGCGCGAGGCGGCGACGAGTCGCATCCACATGGCTGTTGCGGAGGAGTGGAGGTAGGAGGTGCCGAGGAAGGCGTTGAAGACGTCCTCGGTGAAGCGGGTGCAGTAGCGGATGAGGTTGGCGGCGTTGGTGCACGCCGCGAGCGAGAGGAAGCCGCAGGTCCACAGCCCCACCCACGTGTACATCGGCAGGAAGGGGATGCCGCGCGGCGTGACGAAGGCGTACAGCGCCGTGGTGAAGGCGAGTGTGAGGCCGGTCGGCCCGATGAAGGTCATCGGCTGGCCGGCGAGGGAGGCGTAGCTCAGCCCACATCTCGGCCAGATCTCGGCCAGATCTCGGCCAGATCTCGGCCAGATCTCGCCTGGCCGGCGAGGGAAGCGTACAGCATGCCGCAGACGCCGCGGGAGATGATCGTCTCGACGATGCCGAGCTGCCCGCCCGTGGCCACCTGCATCGCGCCGCCGAACGCCACCACCGGCGCCAGGCACGCAAAGTAGAGGAAGAGGGTCGCGCCTGGTTGCCGGGAGGGGGCAGGGCGGCAGGCGGTTGGCCGAGAGAGAGAGAGAGGGAGGGCGGGAGCTGCTTATGGAGCGCGCCGACAAAGGTGGGGATGTCCTTCTGCGACGACAGCCTCCAGTCAGCGGCGTAGGTCGGCCTCCGCCTGACGGTGACGAGGAGAGTGGCGCGGTGACGGGCCAGGCGTGGACGGCGGTGCCCCTCCGCGCTCGTGCAGCGCACAGTGCCACGTCGCCCGCGAGCCCGCTGAAGAGTTTGTCCGGAGCGTCCGGCCTCCGCGAGTCGGGGTTGTCCGCTGGGTTGCCAACCGGCCACAGCTCGCTGAACTCGGACGACGCTGCTGTGGGCGACAATCTCGGCGGCGGCGGCCACGTCGGGAGCGGGTTTGCGAAGGCCGCACGCGGCCCGCGCGTACGCAGCGATGGAAGAGGCGCCGCTCGTAGACGCTCTGAGCTTACGAGGCCAGGCGACAGCAGCGGCACGCAGAGCATGCGCCACCCGGTGGGGCACTCGCGGTAGAAGACTGCGGAAGGAAAGAGAAAGATCAGCAGACCACGCATGACAAGCGATCCCACGTCAGCGATTGTGGGGACTACATGATTACATAAGGGTGGGGGGGGCCGTTCGGCGGAAGGGGTAGGCTCTTCAGAAAAAAATTCCTGCGAGCGCAGCACCGCGCGCTCCACGCCTCGACGCCGCCTGAGGCGAGCCGCCGCCGCCGCCCCGCCCGACGGCGGCCTGGGCGTGCGCTCACCACCGCCCCCGGCTGCGCGCGCGCGCAGGCTCCCTCCTCGCAGCAGCCATGGCGACGAAGGTGCAGAAGATCATGACGCAGCCGATCAACCTTATCTTCCGGTTCCTGCAGAACAAGACGCGGGTGCAGATCTGGCTGTATGAGAACACGGAGCTGCGGATCGAGGGCAAGATCATCGGCTTCGACGAGTACATGAACCTCGTGCTGGACGAAGCGGAGGAGCTGCTGATGAAGAAGAAGGAGCGAAAACCGCTCGGGCGCATCCTGCTCAAGGGCGACTCCATTACCCTGATGATGACGGCGCAGTCATCATGAGCGCACGCGCCGCCGCACGTACCGCCGCCGCGCTGGCCCGTCAATCGCGCGTCGCAGGGCGAGGGCGAGGCTCGCCATCTCGCCGCAGCAGGCGCGCAGCGCTGCGGCCGCCGTGCTTCCCCTCGTGCGGCGTGGGGGGAATGAGGCGTCTGCAGCGCCGCGCGCGAACTTCCCGTCCGTAGTACGCAGCACCAGTCTTGCTCTCGCCGCTGTCCGTGTCTTCCCGATGCTCCGACGCCGCGCCCTCCGCCGTGTCCTGCTCGCTGCTGTCCTCGCAAGTCTGAGTGTGCCTATACCGTAATTACCGAGCGCCCCGGGCACGGTCGCCGTTATTGCAAAGCGCGCGCCGTCTTTCGCGCGCAGCGGCGGCGGGGGGGGGCGGGTTCAGACCATACATACATCCACATATATACAAACGACATTATGTGTGCGTCTTGTGCCCACCCCGCTTCGAGCTTGCGCTCTCTCACACAGGTCCCAGGTCTCTCCAGGCTCCAGCTTCCAGCTTAGCCCGATCGCCAATGGCGCGTGTGTGAGGTTGCGCTCCCTCGCCGCGGCGACGCACTCGGCGACCTGCGCTGCCGACACGGCGAGCGGCTTCTCGCACAGCACGTGCCGGCCAGCCCCAAGGCAGAGGAGCACGTTGTCCCTGTGAAAGGCATGCGGCGTCGCCACGTACACTATATCCACCTCGCCGTCCGCCGCCAGCTCCTCCCACCCGTGCGTCTTCTTCTCGCAGTGGTTCTTGCACTGGAGAGCTGGCAGCGGGGATGGGGCTGGCGGTGGCGGATCGTCGGTGCTCGGAGACGGTGGCGGCGGTGGTGACGGCGGCGGCGGCAGTGGCGACGGCGGCGGCGGCGGTGGCCGCAGCGGCGCGGGCGGCAGCCCGGAGCAGTCAGAGCAGGCCCTGCAGTCGTTCCAAGTGCACACCTCCTCCCACCCGTGCGTCTTCTTCTCGCAGTGGTTCTTGCACTGGAGAGCTGGCAGCGGGGACGGGGCCGGCGGTGGCGGCGGCGGCGGCGGTGGTGGTGGCGGCGGCGGCGGCAGCGGCAGCGGCGGTGGCAACAGCGACGGCGGCAGAAAGCACGACTCGGCGCTCGCAATGGGGACGCTGGATTTGCGACGCATCGTGCAGGCTGCGGTCAGCCGGCACCAGCCGTTAGGCCACGCCATGTAGTAGTTGCACCGCGCCGTCTCTTCGCGCGTACGCGCGGGAGCAGGTCGAGAGAGAGGAGCACGTCCTCCTCGCCCCCCGGAGGGACGTGCTCGGCCATGGAGAGCGGGGGGGGGGGGGCGCCACGGATGCCGAGAGGACGCCCAGCGGGGAAAATGCTCCCCCCGTGGAGCGGGGGGGCCGGGCCCCCCCGGAGGGGGGGCCCCCGCAGGGGG